GTATCTGTCAAACTTTCATAGCAAATCAAAACAATCATAGTATAGTTCTAGAATTTCGACTAGAATGGGGTACGCTTATAGATGTACTTGGGACCAATAGGCTACTCAAGTGGTGAGCCAATTTAAAATCGTTAGTTTCCACCGGTTGATTGTACAAAGTTGTACTCTTTTAAGCTATTACCTCAAATTGTATATTTTGCAGTACGCTCTTACTCGCTGAAAAACCATTCTTTCTTTGTTCATCATAGACGACAATAGCCATAGCGTCGAAAATATCGAAAGTATCTTCGCTCTATTCTCATTTGTTTCGATTCATTCGATGGCAAGCACATATTTTCGTTTTACAAGACATAGGGGAAATGTATGTAATGTCGGCCTAAGTGTCCATAATTTGGACCCATACATAAATTCAGCAATCGACTAAATTTTCAATAGCAACCAAAAATATCCATAAGTACCGTCCCAATGACGCGTTCATCTAGATAAAATTGATAAGTAGCAGATTTTTAGCAATGGGCCCAATGTTAGATCCATAGGCCAACATTAGAGCCATTTCCCCTATGTTTAAGCTTTTGGTTTCGTTCTGTTCAAATACATACGTGGCTACACAAAAAAAGATTCAGAAACTGATTATGTATATGCAATAAGGTTATCTTAAAAATTACATTTTATTTACTGTTCGTCATGTCCGCATTCGCCCTATCCAGATAACACTTCTGAAATTTGTGAGTTTGACATAACCACCAGCACCAAATTTTCAGGGTACACTGGGAATTAGATTGATGCAAAGTTTGAAATTTTCGCTCCACAGCGCTCAAACGGTTCCAAATTGGGCCCTGATTAGCCTCCCAAAATTTGAACTCATTTAGTGAGAAACTGACTTGGCACAAACCATTTGAAGTTTAGATGGGAATTACTATGAAGAAACCATAATTTCGGTTCATATCTATCTCCAAATTCACCAGTTCATTTTCTCAGCTACAACTTTGTTTAAGACCAGTTTTCGATCTAATGTAAGGAACAAAAGTTATTAATGATTCAAGTCACTGATGTCTTATGATTATGCTCCATCAACCGTTCAGCAGGCAACATTGGTGTTTATGGCGCGACAAAGAGGACAAAAATCATGGCTACTATGTCACACTGCAGAATACAGTGTTGCCCACAATACAGTTGCTTAATCTTGCCATAAGATTATCAATCTCTTAAACAATTAATAACTATTTAATTTGACGTTTGACCGAATAACAATTTTTTGCAAAGTTGTAGCAGATAAAAATTACCATAAGACTAGTAATAGAATTTGTTAACAGTACAATATGTAAAAAGGCTAAAAGACAATGAAGAAAAAGTTTTGTTTTCCCATAGTAATTTCCATATAGGCTAATCAGGGCCCAATTTGGAACCGTTTAAACACCGTGGAGCGAAAATTTCAAATTTTGCATCAGCCTACTGGGAATGTACTGGACTTGTCAAGTTGCCCCCGGGTTGTCTGGCCCTCATCTCAACATGATAGTATTCTTAAGGGGCTGTTCATTACCTACGTAGATAGTTGGGGGGGGGGGGGTCAAATATCCACGGTCCATACAAATTTACAAAATGTTGTATGGACAATTGTCTACGCAGGGGAGGGGGGTCAATAATCCCAAAAAAAATGTCTACGTAGGTAATGAACAGCCCCTAATCTATTGCAGAAGATGTTTGGATCAAGTAAGTGTTTTTTCTTCAGGCAATGAGATTGCAGTCTAAAGTCAACATCAAATCGTCATAAAGATGCAAGTTGTCTTTTCTCTCACTGTACTTCTAATAAAAATGTTAATAAGCGTTAAAGAGTAAAAGTGTATTTTATTGATTTGTTATTTCTCGAAAAATAAATACCAAGGACGAATAATCTACATATAGATAAAACACTTTATTTGGTTTTCTTTGCTATCGTTGGTTTTCTTTGCTATCAAAGAGTATTAAAATTAACCGATTGTTTCGATTAATCGATTATTTCATGTCGATTAATCGATGTCGATTAATCGATGTCGATTAATCGATGTCGATACAATCAATAAAAAAATCGATTAGTTGGAAAAATCGGACATCACTATTTATTACTACTGGTAAATACTGATCGGTGATCCTCTCCTACCTACAGCTTGCAGTGATGCCACAGATACAGATAAAGAGATTACAGATATTTGAAAAGTATGCAGATTTTTCAAATAAATAGAATATCTGTTATATTATTTTTTATATATATTTATTCTGATAAATAATCGTTTCTTTCTTTTGAGCAGCTTGAATTCAATCTATGAGCATCAAAACCAAAACGTATATTTCACTAAATAAAATATGATTGTATTATCTTTGAATGGACTTGGAATTTTGTTTAATGTACTTCTGATGTTAATGCGTTCTGATTTCTCGTTGGAAGGGATATTAGTTTCTCTTCCTTTTCGTTTAATTAACCATGTCACATGGTGACAGATACGATATTCAATTAACTATATTTTTGTCAAATCTGTAAACAAGCCATTTCAGCAAACCCAGGAAATTTTCAGTCGGGAGCAGATTTGTGTCTTACTTAATGTTTTGTATTTTCAGACTTGTAGAAAAAATTCAAATCACTAAAAAAATCAAGATTGTAGGATTTCTAGATTACAAAAAGAGAAATTCTTTAGAAAACAAATTTTAGTCGTTTTTAACGATTCTAAACTTTGAACAAACTCCTTCTAAACTATGAATGAACTCAATGAAAATTTAGGCACTGAGACCATAATAAATAAATTATACAGATTTTTCTACAGATTTTTGTCAGCCACATACAGATTAAAAAGATTTTATGCGATGAAAAAACAGATTGAAATAAAAAAAATTATGGCATCACTGACTGCTTGCGGTCGTGTAGTGGATGAGAGAAATGAGAGTGAGTTCCTATTGTTTGTGTGTAGTGTGAGATTAGTGTGTGATAACAGAGAAAGTGTGCTCAAAGAGCTTTTTGACGTTCAATCGGCGCGCACTACTGCACAATTGAAACCGAACGAGTGCGAGCAAGAGGGAAACAGATAAGTGGGAAAACAAACCGTCCGTTCATCCAATTGTGCTAGATAGAGAAAGATTATTAAACTTCAAAAAGGTCTATGTGCTATGGGAAACGAGCTGATTGTTGTATAGCTGTAAAACAAATTAGGATAGGGTGATCAACTGCTTATTTTGTGCCAACAGGTGTCAAGGGCAAGGTTGTAGTTTACTCCCTGATGGTTTGAAGAAAATCCAACTTAAAATGATTTTTTGGCAACCATTTTTGTGTGACATACTTTTTTCGAGTACAGTCTTTATGTGAACATGCTGTTATACATTGTCTGGCTCATGGATTTGAGGCACTCCCCCACATATGAAAAATCAGTGAGTAACCAACTTTAAATTTACCATGACAGTACTGGACATGATGAGATCTTTCAAATGAGCTACAACTCATGTATGTTCAATATTGATTTGCCATTCCCTTCTGATCGGGCCGGATTCGCTGAACCAACGACAATTCACTTAACCACATCAATTACCGTTTCCTTCCGGTTTATTGCTCTCAACAGCCAGCAGGCTGTGCTGCTGCAACAGGAATTTCAAAGCCCCTTGTATGTGCAGTGGAAAAGTTTTCCTATAAATAAAACATGCTGCTAGTCGTTGACGGTCGGAAGGCCTTGTCACCAGCGGAAGAATGTCGCCGTCAGTTGGTCGGTTGGTTAGCTAACAACTGACATAGCTACTCGTGGTGACATTTTGAACGTCCATCATCCATCGCTGTCGGTCGTCGTTGGAGAAATTACGCTCGAAACAACAGGCGCAACTGGCAGCGGTTGACTTTCACTCGTAAAAAATAATCCACTAGTAGTTTCAAATGTCAGAACCATTTAATTGAATAAAATACAAACTTTTGCTACAGTGCAGCGGAGTTTGGGATAGAGTGTGTTTTTTGCAGACCTCTGATCTCTAACCACAGCACACATGTTTGCTACCCGAAATGGACTACTGGACGACCCTTTTTTCCTAGCTCAGTTTAATATTCTCGTTTACTCGTGCTCCGCTTGGAGAGATGAAAATTTGCATAAAGCTTTGCTCGGAGTATGAAGGTACATAAAACAAGTTCGTTGTGACACAGACAGGCGCCGCAGAAAATGTCCCAGCCATCATTCGACACTCACACCCATTCCGGCATAATTCTGTCATGTTCGTCGTCAGTCGGTCGCCAGCAGCCCCATAGTTGTTGTCGTCGATGGGGGGTTGAAGCTGGAGACGTGGCTCAACATCCATGATTTTAATTTTAATATTGTTCACCCAAATGTCTCCACCGATGTTCGCTCGTTTGTTATTCAAGACTGCGTTGCCAACCATCAGCCACTCATCTTGTTGCAGTTTTGATTGTCTTATAGATGTGGATGTCGCCGGTCGCCGGTCGCCAGGCCGCCAATATGCTCAGTTTAATTTCATTAGAAACTTTTATATTCCATTCAAATATGTACAATCCGGCTTCGGGGCATGTGTGGTGCAAACAGAGCTGGAGTTCCAGGTAGAAGCATATGTGATGTACGTGTGGTACAGGACTATGGCGGTGGTGATATATATGCATGAGAGTGTGTCGGCTGAAACGACGACGGCAGCAATGATTAATTATGATGCAACGTGTGTGTTTTGTGATTTTGGCACGGACACTGAAAGGGTCAGAAATGGGAAAAATTTCCCGCTGGATACTGGAGGTCCACCCGTATTATTTAATTTAGGATTGTTTTGAACAGCCAATTTAAAATTTTGAGTGAGCTGTGTATTAAGCCGAATGATAAACGATGGGAAATTATCATTCAACACGCGCACTCACTAAGCTGAAAAAGAGATATTTACCTACGTAAATCTCGAACACACGAAGATCCCCTCCAAGGATTTAGCATCAATCGTCTTCGATCGAAATCGCATTATCCGGTAATCTAAACGATTCTTTTTCTCGCTTCCCATTTCAGATTTCAGCTAACCCACCCTTCCGGCAAAGAGAAGAAACGCCCGACACACAATGGAATTCAAGCCCTCCAACACGGCCACAATCGCAACGATAGACAAAGGAAATCCGCCGCTGCCGGCCGCCCTGCTGCATCCGCCCGCCTCACCCACCAACGTCGGCTGCTGTGCGATAGGTCGCCGAACTCCCCCGAGGCCCCCGTCGGAGATCTACTTCGAAAGCCGTGGCAAGTGCTGTAAGAAACTGCTCCGCTACAACGGCTACCCGAACAAGGTAAGACATTTTGGAACCGGAAGAGGGATGAAGGGTCGGGCGATGGGCGGAGGATGAATTCTCACTGGAAACACAGAACAGTGAAAAGATAGCGATGCGAAGCAATTTCCTTATGTATATTTATGTTATCTCGACTCGCTTATTCAGCTTTAAGCCGGGTCTCACCGTGGCGAGGGATTTCCCAGTTTTTGTAGTGCTTGGTATTTTTTGGAATAAATTCTATTTGGAAAAGATGATAAAACTGCAAGTGACGGACAGGCAATTAATGTTTCATTTTAGATAATTTTAGGTGGAAATAATTTGTGTTCCTCAAACCTGTAGGTCCATTTTCGAATAAGTGATGTCGGTTCAATCTGGCTTCTACTCTGACTTGTCGTTTTCTTGGGGTGATGGCTTATAGTTATAATAGTCAAGTTATTGTGTTGTCAGATTTCAATTGGTTTTATTCGGTGCAATTTGAAATAGTCATATTATTGTTCAGAGCAGCGCTTATCATTCCATAAAACACGCCCATGGTTCGCAAGTTTTCATTAAGTGGGTTGCAAAAATTTAGAAATAATGCGTTTCTTCACTTCTATTTTTTTTTTCTAATTTTAAAGAAAATGTCGATTAGAAAAAGCATTTTTTAACATAATACAAAAAAGGTATATACAAATCGATGATTAGCCATAAATACATGAGCCATAAGGTCATTTACCATACGGACGAGTGCCATATTGGTCGTTAGCCATACTGTTATTCTCGTATGTGGGCGTTAGCCATAATGTACGATAGCCATAATTAACATTTGTCATAATTCTTATATTCAAATTAACTAACATTTTTTAAATACATGTTCGCTGTTCGATAAACGCTTGCCATTATATATTCATTGTTTACAGCTGAGCAGCGCCAGTGATGTAGTGGTAAGCGTGATAATCTCTCACCCCAGCAGGCCTGGGTTCAATCCCAGTCGGCGCCGCCGGGATGTTCTGAGGCATAACATCTCTGATCACGGAAGGGAAGTAAAGCCGTTGGTCCCCGGTTCATGCGTTGATGAGTCGATAAGTAGGGTCCAGATGTGGGAGCTCCCTCCCTGGCGTCGGTAGCATTGGTGCTCAGCACGGAAAACAAGATCGACGGAAAGCATTTCAAAGGAAAAACATTTACAACTGGTGATATAGTATTTCAGGTCATGCTGTATAGAAGGAATCAACTCCAAGTGAGATGTTAAGAATTGATGGGATTTTATCTGTCAAAGAACAGCTCATGATACAAATAAAGAATAAACTCCAAGAGAGAAATGATTTGTGATTATTTCAAATAAATTTCTACAACTATTTTATTTTCCACAGAACTGCTCATCATACAAAGAAGAAGTTGAAGAGAAAATAATTTGTAAATATTTCAATCGAATTTTTCATAAAAGACAAATGTCATATTACAGGTCATGCTGTAAACAAGGAATCAACTACAAGAGAGATGTTGCTTTTGAGAATTTTCAGATGGACTTTTCAAAAGCTTTTATCTGTCAAAGAACAGTTCAAGATTCTTATAGTATAGTGAAAAGGCAATAAATGATTTGTGCATTTCCATTGCAATTTCCTAAAAATTAATTATATTTGTGAGTACAGTACCCGTTCGACTTAGGCATTGTTCGATTTTGGCAACAAAACGACAAAGCCGTTCGATTTTTGGGACGGGGTTCGATTGAACGGATTTCAAATATTATGTATTTTCGCTCCATGCGATCACAATTTTTAATAAATTTAAAATTATTAAAGCCTTAGTCATGAAGATGATTCCTCTGTGGTTCAAATTCATCAGAATCATAAAAGAAATTTTAAAATAAAACTGATCATTTTTAGCAACACTACATTACCGGGATTGTTGACATAATACACATAACGTCTGTTATTGCTACCGTACATATTGGCTATCGTCTTTATGGCAATCGTACGTATGGCAAAAATCCTTATGGCTAACGTTTTTATAGCTAATGTCCGGTTACCATACAAATCATATAAATCGGGCCTCCCTTAGCTCAGTCCGTAAATCATTCGCTGCCAGACTGTTTAGCAGCTCGTTTCGTTCGTTCGACCCAGCCATGGGTGAAAAATTGCGCTGTGGCGCAAGTGCCGGCAATCCCAGGAAACGGTCTAGGCCTGAAGACAATAGTGACAGTGCGACAGCTGCGAAGAAACTGCTTGACAACAATAGGTTCTCCGTTCTGAAGGACTGTGCAGAGCCGGTGACGGTAACAATAAGACTGCCGAAAAAAGACAGAATGCCGCCATTCTACGTTAAGGGCTTCCCTCTCAGACTGCGGGAAAAAATAAACATCTACATCACGAAGGGCGTCCGGTGTATCATCCACAGGTGGAGTACTTCTCCCACGACATCGAGGTTGTTAAACCGATCAAGGTGGTCCTACGAGGACTATCCGACATGTACAAAAGCGTCCTCTTGGAAGAGCTGGTGGCTAATTGACTGAATCTGGTCCAAACTCACAAGATGGCCCGCCACAACAAGGTCATCAAGTACCGTGACCAGCTATACCTGGTGCACTTTGAGAAGAACTCACAAGTTTGAAGGACCTACAGGGCACCCGCGTCCGGTACAAGCCAGTTAGCCGCGGAGTCATCCAATGCTCGAACTGCCTGCTGTTCGGGCATGGAACGAATAATTGCCATATGGCCAGCCGCTGCACCAAGTGTGGGAAGCAACACCAAACCGACGCCTGCGACAGACTCGATGAAACCGATCCCATTTGCGCCAACTGCGGTGCTGCTCACAAACCTACAAGCAAGGTCTGCCCGAAGCGCTCCGAGTACATCACGATCCGGAAGAAAGCATCGACAAGAAACCAGCTCGGCCGTAAGAAAGAGCCGGAAATAAATGATCAAAACTTCCCACCTGTTCCACGACGACCGATTCCAGTTTTGTCACCGCTGCCACTCAATCAAAGATTGGCTGCTGCTCGTGCCACTGCTACTGCTGCTCAAGTTAAAAACGCCAACCACCAGGCTTGGGGCAACAGTCGACGCAACCAAAACGGTACAATCCTGAACGACGACTTGCAAGAGGCGCACTAAAGGGTGATACGGTCAAAATTTGGTCAATATCAACTTGACGTATTTCTTTCAATTTTGCATTTAAAAAACCTGAACACCCCTCATTTTGAACGTGTGTGTGTGTAGAATGTTGCTCCTATTTTGATTTTGGAATTCACTCTTCAGTTGTCAAAATGCCGTCCAAGCAAGAAGAGCAGCGTATCAAAATTTTGCTCGCGCATCGCGAAAATCCGAGCTACTCGCACGCAAAATTGGCAAAATCGCTAAAAGTTGCCAAATCATCCGTTACAAATTTAATTAAAGTGTTTGGGGAACGTTTGTCGACAGCCAGGAAGTCTGGATCGGGGGGAAATCGAAAACCGGAAGCCGCTGAGACGACAAAGAGAGTTGCCGGTAGTTTCAAGCGAAACCCTAACCTCTCTCTCCGAGATGCCGCAAATAAGCTGGGTGTATCGTCTACAACCGTGCATCGAGCCAAAAAACGAGCCGGACTATCGACTTACAAGAAGGTAGTGACTCCAAATCGCGATGATAAACAAAATACGACGGCCAAAGCGCGATCCCGGAGGCTGTACACGACGATGCTGACGAAGTTTGACTGCGTGGTAATGGACGACGAAACCTACGTCAAAGCCGACTACAAGCAGCTTCCGGGACAGAAGTTTTATACGGCAAAAGGAAGGGGAAAGGTAGGAGATGTTTTCAAGCACATGAAATTGTCAAAGTTCGCAAAGAAATATGTGGTTTGGCAAGCCATCTGGTACAGGCTTGAAAAGCAGCATTTTCATAGCTTCCGGGACTGTCAACCAAGAAATTTACGTGAAAGAGTGTTTGAATAAACGTCTGCTGCCTTTCCTGAAGAAACACGGTTGTTCCGTACTGTTTTGGCCGGATTTGGCATCTTGCCATTACGGTAAAAAGGCCATGGAGTGGTACGCCGCCAACAACGTGCAGGTGGTTCCCAAGGACAAGAACCCTCCCAACACGCCAGAGCTCCGCCCAATTGAGAAATACTGGGCTATTGTCAAGCGGAACCTAAAGAAGACCAAAAAAACTGCTAAGGGCGAGCAGCAGTTCAAGGCAAACTGGCTTTCTGCGGCGAAGAAGGTGGACAAGGTGGCTGTACAAAATCTGATGGCAGGGGTCAAGCGTAAGGCCCGGCAATTCGGATTTGGAAAAGCGGAAGCCTAACTGAATATTTTTCCTGAATTTTATACTAATTGAACTTGAAAAAGAAATTTAATTTGATTTTTTAAATAAACGATTTCACCGATTTACACGCGTTTTCCCTTGACCAAATTTTGACCGTATCACCCTTTACACCATATTACAGCCGGACTCTCCCACTCGCTTGAGCCGGTCTGGCGTACACTTCACCATCGACATCTTCATCAGTAACATAGGAGACAACCTACCAGGAGCTGAGCTCGGACCACTAACGGGTAGAGTTGGCTCATCCGTCAGCCGATTCCAAGCTTCCCGACGCAACTACCATTGTGTCAGCTGGGATCAGCTCCAACATTGTGTCGACTCCACTGTCGACTACGGTGTCCAACCGGAGACGCCCGAGGACGTTGACCGGTGTCTGCGTTCCATCGAAGAGGTGATATCCCGGGCCACGGAACAACACGTACCAGTATCCAGACAGGTGATCAATACTCTGAACCATGATAGAAGTACCAAAAATCTCATTAGACTCCGTAACTCCATTCGAAGGCAATACCAGCGTTCTGGCTTATCTGTCTTGAAGACCCACTGTTATCGCAAACAAACCAAAAACCATCCAAGCCAGGATGGTGGACTCTCTCCCAGATTGTGCAAAGCCCTTTGGGAAGCTAAAAAAAAACCTTAAAAAATAAGCCAAGACCCTTTTCACCACTGACCCCACGGGATCGTCCCGGCGACCCAGTGGTTGATCTGATAACTGCTGAAGAGAAGGCTGCCGCG